TCACTCTTATTCCTTCCCTTTTCACTTCTTTCTCCATATAGCCACAGACTTCTAGTCAATCACTACAACCATTCTCTTGCCAATACCACCTACTCATCTCTCACGCTCATATATCTCTGTCAAAACTACTATCTGAATCTACTCAACTGTCAGGCCTTCCTTGCTCCTGCCTCAATATTTCAGAAGAAAAAAATCAACTTTGAAGAATGGTGCATTAGAACTATTGTTTTTGAAGAAACTTCCTCTACCTAATAAAAGAGCATCTATAAAAAACCCACAGCGAACACCATACTTAACCATGAAAGACTGAAAGCTTTCCCTCTAAGATGAGGAATAAGGAAAGGATGACTATTTTCACTACTGTTACTCAATATTTTGTTAGAGGTTCTATCCAGAGCAATTAAGCAAAGGGAAAAAAAGACATCTAGATTGAAAAAGAAAGAAGCAAACTATTTCCATTTGCAGATGACATGACATTGTGTAGAAAAAATACTAAGAAATACGTAGATACAACTAGAGCTAATATGTTTAGAAAAGCTACAGGATACAAGAGCAATAACAAAAATCAATTGTATTTCTTTACACTAGCAATGAACAATATAAAAATAAAATTGAGAAAACAATTCAATTTAAAATAGCATCAAAAAGAATAAAGTACTTAGTAATAAATTTAAAGAAATGTAAAACTTGTACACTAAGAACTATCAAGTGTTGTTGAAAGAACATAAAGAAAATCTAAATAACTTAAAAGGTATTCATGTACATTGATTAGAAAACTTAATGTTATTAAGATGGCAATACTCCCAAATTGACTTACAGATTCATGGCAACCTCTATGAAAATTCCAACTGCTTATTTTGCAGAAATTTGTTAGTTGATCCTAAAATTCATATGAAAGTGCAAGTGACCCTGAGAGTTAAAACAACCTTGAAAAGGAAAAACAAAGTTGAGACTCACACTTCCCATTGCAAAACTCACTACAAAGCTATAACAATCAAAATAGTGTGGTACTGACATAGGGAGAGACATATACATCAGGAAATAAAATTGGGAGTCCAGAAATAAACTCATACATCTATGCTCAATTGATTTCTACAAGGATGCCAAGACCATTCAGTGAGAGAAAGCAGTCTATTCAATAGAGTTGAGACAACTGGATATGCAAATGCAAAAGAATAAAGTTGCACCTCTACCTCATACCACATACAAAGAAATTACTCAAGATCGATGAAAGACCTAAGTGTACAAGCTGGAACTGTAAAATTTAAAAGAACACATAGGTGTAAATTTTCATGACCTTGAATAGGCAGCATGTTCTTAGATATAACACCTAAAAAATAGGTTTGGGCATCATCAAAAATGAAAAATCTTTGCATGCTAAGAGACACTACCAAGAAAGTAAAAAAAACAACCCACAGAATGGGAGAAAATATTTGCAAACCATGTATCTGATAAAAATCTGGTATCCAGAATATAAAAAGAACTCTTACAACTCAACAATGACAACCTGAACACAATTTTAAAATAAGCAAAATATTTGCATTGCTATTTATCCTAAGAAGCTACAGAAATGGTCAAGAAGCATATTAAAAGATGTTCAACATCACTAGCCATCAGAGAAATGTAAATCAAAACCACAATGAATTGCTACTTTATACCTGCTAAGATGGCTATAATTTAAAAAAATGTAAAGTAGCAAGTGTTGATTGGGACATGCATACTTTGGAACCCTCATACATTGCTCATAAACTAAAACGGTGCAAAACGAAGGATCTTTATGGTGATGTAAATGCTGTCTTGATTGTATCTGTACTACAGCTTTGCAAAGTGTTATTGGGGAAAACTGATTAAAAAGTATACAGGATCTCTATGTGCTATTTTTTATGATTACATATGAATTTACAATAATCTCAAAATAAAAATTTTAATCAATTTTTTTTCAGTGTTCAAAATTTTAATCAATTTTTAAATCGATCTTCAACCACAGATTGATCAATATTCCTTCCATACATCCAGCTACTTTCAGTCATTCATTTCATTCAACTTCTTACTCCAGCCACCTCCTTCTTAACAGATAACCAGCAGCACCACCAGCAACTAACATTTATTGGGCATTTGTTGTGGGACAAAAAACTTTGTGTGCAAGAACTTTATATAAACCCCCCAGCAGAGAACTTTGAATTCTATTTTTCATGGGAAACAGCAGCCTCAGACACCATCGCCTCTGCTTCATCCTCATTCATCCATTCCTCCTTTTCTTCCTTTAATAATGAAGAGAAGGGCCCATTTCGCAAATTAAAGGCAATCCTTTCACTTAAGCACTGACCCTACTTTTCAGGATCCTAACTCTACCCAGTAACTTTCTTGTATTTTGAACCCCTGCCTTTCTTTTTTATTTTATTTTATTTTAATCATTGTTCAAATACAGTTTTCTCCTTTTTACTCCCAATCCAGTCCCCCCTCCCACCCTTCACACTTCCTTCCCATTACCACCCTCCCCTTAGTTTATGACCATGTGTCCTTTAAGTTTGTTCCTGTGAACCCTTCCCACTGTCCCCTTAAATTCCTTCTACTCTCTTCTGTGGGCACTGTCAGCCTGGCCTCTATTTCAGTGTCTTTGGTTATATTTTGCTTGTTTCTTTGTTTTGTTATTTAGGTTCCTGTTAAAGGTGAGATCATATGGTATTTGTCTTTCACTGCCTGGCTTGTTTCGCTTAGCATAATGTTTTCCAGCTCCATCCACGCTGTTGCAAAGGGTATGAGCTCCTTCTTTCTTTCTGCTGCATAGAATTCCATTGTGTAAATGTACCATAGTTTTTTTGATCCATTCATTTACTGATGGGCATCTTGGTTGCTTCCAGCATCTAGCTATTGTAAATTGTGCTGCTATGAACATTGGATGCATAGGTTCTTTTGAATTCGTGTTTTAGTATTCTTAGGATAGAGTCCCAGCAGCGGAATTGCAGGGTCAAAAGGCAGATCCATTTTCAGTTTTCTGAGGAAGTTCCGTACTGCTTTCCATAGTGGTTGTACCAGTCTTCAGTCCCACCAGCAGTGCACTAGGGTCCCCTTTTCTCCACAACCTCTCCAACACTTGTTGTTTGTTGCTTTGTTTATGATGGCCATTCTGTCTGGTGCGAAGTGGTATCTCATTGTGGTTTTAATTTGCATCTCTCTGATAGCTAGCGATATTGAACATCGTTTCATGTGTCTTGGGATTTTCTGTATGTCCTCCTTGGAGAAGTGTCTGTTCAAGTCCTTTGCCCACTTTTTAATTGGATTCCTTGTCTTCTTAGAGTACAGTCTTGTAAGTTCTTTATATATTTTGGAGATTAAACCCTTGTCTGAGGTATCATTGGCAAATATGTTTTCCCATACAGTTGGTTCTCTTTTAATTTTGATACTGTTTTCTTTAGCTGTGCAGAAGCTTTTAATTTTGATGAGGTCCCATTTGTTTATTCTTTCCTTTATGTCCCTTGCTCTAGGGGACAAGTCAGTAAAAAAGTTTCTTCGTGAAATATCTGAGATTTTCCTACCTACATTCTCCTCTAGGACTTTAATGGTGTCACGTTTTATATTTAAGTCTTTTATCCACCTTGAATTTATTTTTGTATATGGTGTAAGTTGGTGCTCAAGTTTCATTTTTTTTGCACGTGGCTGTCCAGTTCTCCCAACACCATTTGTTGAAGAGGCTATTTTTACTCCATTTTATGTTGCTGCCTCCTTTGTCAAATATTAATTGACCATAGAGACTTGGGCTTACTTTCTGGGCTCTCTGTTCTGTTCCATTGGTCTAAGTGCCTGTTTTTATGCCAGTACCAGGCTGTTTTGATTACAGTGGCCTTGTAGTATAGTTTAGTGTCGGGTATTGTGATCCCTCCTACTTTACTCTTCTTTCTCAAAATTGCAGCAGCTATTTGGGGTCGTTTACAATTCCATATAAGTTTTTGAAGTGTTTGTTCTATGTCTGTGAAATATGCCACTGGTACTTTAATAGGAATTGCATTAAATGTGTAAATTGCTTTGGGTAGTATGGACATTTTGATGATATTAATTCTTCCAATCCATGAACATGGTATATGTTTCCATTTGTTTGTGTCTTCCTTGATTTCTTTCTTCAGTGTTGTGTAGTTTTCTGAACCCCTGCCTTTCTATTAGACTTAATCTGTCCGCACTTAGCTAAATTCACATTCATGCCTATCGTTAAACAAAAGGGGGGGGGGATGGGGAGGAGGAAGAAAGGAGAAAGAAGAAGGAAAAAAAAGAAAGAAGAGGCAGCTTCCTTTCCCCAACCTTACAAATACATCATCCATTCTCACTCCTCTTTTTGTAGCTACGTTTCTTAAGAATTGTTCACATTTACTGTTTCTACTTCCTAAACTTCCATTCAGTTCAAAATCCAGTACAACTTGGTTTCTGCTCCTACTCTGTGAAAGCCTCACCTCTTTCCAGCATTTGACACCTCCACCTATTCCTTCATTTAAACTCTCTCTCCTTTGGGTTTCTCTGACATCACCACCCTCTGAGATTTGAGGTAAATGGCACAGGTGACCTAAAAAGAAGCAAACACGGTTATAATAAAGTAGGACATGCTAATGGCCAAGGAGGCAAAGGTAAGGAGACTGCTACTTTTTGAGAGGGAGGTTGGGAGAAAGAAGGCAGAAAACGCCACACTGGGCATCAAAACGAAATGGTCGTGACTTTCGCCCTCTTTTCCCCATCATTTCCACCCACTTCCTTCCTCTATCCGTTCAGAGCCTGCTGGTACTCAAACAAAAAAAAAAAAAAAAAAAAAGCTGGAGGGTATTAGCGGGGACAGACTTGGGGTCTGCGAGAAGGGCCGACTCTACCGACGGTACGAACCGGGCCACGAGGTTGGTGGATAAGGAGGTTGAATCACAGCGGAACAGTTGAGGCCGGCCACGGTTGCAACTCGGCGGGGAACCACCGGTAGCAGACGTGAGTGCGCTTGCGTAGCGGCACTTCCGGCCCCAGCCGTGGAACGAGCCGCATCTTAAAAAGTCCCGACGCTGTACGTGAAATGCAGGTGGGAGCTTCCGCTGATCTCGGAGAATCCCGAGATCCGCGCGGGAGAAGCTGGAGGCAGAGGAGTCAGAGGCTGGCGGAAGTCCGTCGGCCATCCGCCGCTAGCGCAAGTAGAGGATCGGAAACAGTCTGGGTCCTTGTGTCCTTAGCGTCCTTCGTCCCCTGCCCAGCCCCTTGGCCAGCAGCACTGAGAAATAGGCGGGGGGTGGGGGGGTTTGAGGCTAAGGGAAATGCAGGTTAAACGGGTTTCTCTGCAGGTCCAGTGCCTTTAGACCTGGAGAGCCCCCACTTTTTTCAAAAATGAAGAAATTAAGGCTTAAGGAACTAGAGAGTCGCCTGCAACAAGTGGATGGATTCGAAAATCCCAAGCTACTTCTAGAACAGTATCCCACCAGGCCTCACATCGCAGGTAGGGTGGCTGGTCCATTGCCTCGCGAGTTGGTTAGTCTTGTCTACTTACTCCATAATGAAATGAGAACAATTATTTAGATACAAAGACCGTCTAGAGGAAATCTGCTGAAAGATTACCTATCCCGTTAGAGGACTTTGTTAACACCAAAGCTAAAAACGCCCCAAGAGATACACGTTGTCATTTTACTGTTTGGTTTTTCCATATCTGTTAACACTGTGAGACATCATTTTAACGGTTTATTTCTCTCATTACACGGTACACTCTTTGAGGTCAAAGAATTTCTTGGTCTTGTTCACACAATTCCCAGTGCCGGAAGAGTTTCTGGTACTAATAAGGAGCTCAGTAAATATTTGCCAAATAAGGATCAATTTCCTATTGCAACAAATTGTCAGCACAGAGATTTCTATGCTGTACTCTGCCCTATAAATGAACACTAGATGTGCTAGCTGAAGGACTGAGTTTAACAAATCCAGAATAGGCGCTGTGTAAATATGAGGATGCATTTCAATTTTAACAAGTGATCCCAGAATCAGCAGTGTTGCTTGGTGTGAGAGACGGATACCAGTAATACAGTACAGAATACAGGAAAAAACATTCTACTTAATAAATGTATTACCAAAGTCATTGGTGAGTCTTAGGAAAATTAATTTGTCCTCAATACCTGCAAGGAAGAAACTCATCCAACTCCAACACAGTTTTGTTTCTACGCTGCCAATGAAAGTAAAGGAAAATACATGCATTCCTGCACTTAACGCCAACATATTGTCATAATTTCAACCAAAAATTGGCACAAAACTGTTTAAGACCAGTTTACCTGATTTAGAGAATGTCTTCTGGTTATAGGGTTTCTAAGTAGAGTCCAATTTTTTAAAAAGACAGTTTCACACTTGTGTGCTAATTCTTACTTTATTATTTTTAATTGATTTTTAGAGAGAGAGAAACATCTATCTGTTGTTCCATTGATTTATGTATTCATTAGTTTCTTCTTGTATGTGCAGTGACCGGGGATCAAACCCAAAACCTTGGCTATTGGGATGAGATTCTAACTGACTGAGCTACCCAGCCAGGGCTTTGTGCTAATTCTCTACCAGCTTCAAAGTCACTAACACCTGCAGCAATAATCAGGACAGTGTATTCAGCCTGAGATGCCCTGTAATTGTGTTTTTGATGAAACCTCTGGATTCTGGGGAATCAGTGATGGCCAGTAGTCCTTGCAGATATCCACAAGGAGATATCAGTGTTCTTACTTGTGGGTAACCTTCAGTATATCCTAGATCTTTATGTATTTGAAATATCCCTTTCCAATCTCAGGAGCTTCTGCTCTACTCCTTAATAGTTCTCTTATCTGCTCATATTAGTAGAACATGAATGTAAGTGCCCGTGGATCGTAAACATGTGTCTGAATACATGAGTCTAAAGGCTGCATTGTGGATGTAGGTCTTTTTCTTTCCCATTCTAGCCTAAGCTTATGGTAACTGTGTTCTGGTGAAGAATTTGTTGCAAAAACAGTTCTGTGCCATTTAATGTTAATGCTGTGGTTCCCAGACAGATTCACAAATTAGTAAAATTTCAAAATAATTTTGGACACTGATACAGAGTTGCCAAGTTTATGAATTAACAAGGAAAGAATTTTTTTGTCTGTTTCTTAAAATTTAACTTTATTTTCCTGAAATTTTCCTAAAGGTTGTTTTAAATTGTATATACTGTTACAGCTGTTCCCGCTTTTTTTCCCCTTTCCCTTCTCCACCCAGCCCCTATCTCGCCCCCCCACTAAGTCAAACCGCATATCACTGTCCATATCCATAGTTCATACATAAATGTTCTTTGGTTAATCCCTTCACCATCTGTCATCCAGTCTTACCTCCCCTGTGGCAGCTGTCAGTCTGTTCCATGTGTCTGTGTTTCTGTTTCGTTCATTAGTTCATGGTGTTTATTAGATTCCACATTATGTGCAATCATGTGGCATTTGCCTTTCACTGACTAGCTCATTTCATTTAGCCTAATATTCTCCAGGTCCATCCATGCTGTCACAAAATGTAAAAGTTTCTTCTTTTTTTACTGTTGTGTACTATTCCATTGTGTAAATGTACCACAGCTTTTTTACCCACTCATCTACTGATGGGTGCTTAGGCCATTTCCAAGGAAAGATGTTTTTAAAACCTATTATACTTACCACCATTTCATAAAAATATTTCAGCATCAAAGAAAGCTGATATCTATGTCTGTATAGCAATGTTTTGAACAGGCTGAGGAAATATAAGACATTTTGACCGTATGTTTCTGATTTTACCTCAAAGTCATGTCATTTTTGGCATTGTCAGCAGAGGCTACTTTTTGGAAATCACTGGTATGTGTTTTATTATTTTGTTGGGGGCCCTCGTACTATGTACCAAGTTATTGTGCCTTATGTTTTTTTTTTTTCATTATCTAGAATACCATTTGGGGGAGGACTAGATAATGCCAGACAAATTATTTTAAAGAATTATAGGGACAAATTGGATTTTGGTCTTCAACTTGCTTACTTATTCTCTAATATGTTCTTTGATCTTTTAGCATGTATGCTCTATACAATTCATAACACATATGATGACATTGAAAATAAAGTGGTTGCAGATCTAGGATGTGGTTGTGGAGTACTTAGCATCGGAACTGCAATGTTAGGAGCAGGGTAGGTGATCCAGTATGTACTATTTGGTATGGGGTGGCTTTAATAAGCATAAATAGATCAACTGATTATGTTTATGGGACTTTAGTAGTATGAGATGAGGGGAGCAAGAATCTGATAATGAGTATGTTTTGAGCAGAACAAACTGAAAAAACAGTAACAGCAGCAGCCAGATACCTCCCTTGTTTGCAGACCTAACTTTCCAGCCCCTGCCAGGCTGGGCAATCATGCTGTTGAAAGGGAATACTCACCCTTACTTTGCCAGTTGGGTTAAAAATGTATATGGTTTTGATTGTGTTAATATTTTGACATAGAAGTTGTTAAGTAGTCTTTGTGTTTTGTATTCATAGGTTGTGTGTTGGATTTGACATAGATGAAGATGCATTGGAAGTATTTCATAGGAATGTGGAGGAATTTGAGTTAACAAATGTTGACATGGTTCAATGTGATGTATGCTCATTATCTAACAGAATGTCCAAGTCATTTGATACAGTAATTATGAATCCTCCCTTTGGGACCAAAAATAATAAAGGTTAGTAACAAGAATCAGGTGTATTGGTTTTGAAAACCACTTGCTTGCTGATTATTTGGGTTAAGTGATTTTATCACTTGTCATTAAATAAACCAATTTCCTACCTGTAGTTACTACAATTTCAGCTTGTCTAATGCATGGATAGGGAATTGAATGTTTCAATCTTTGTTGTCACAAATTTGTACTAAATGAAAAATATCTTTTTATTTGTTTATGTATACTCCATCTGGTTTCAAGAATGCTTTCCTTAACCTTTACAAATGATTATGAATCCTCTAAAGTATTTTATACTTTCAGAACTTTTTTTAACACCTTAGCACACCTGAGGGTTTCATCATGTGTCCATCAGTAACAGTGACCCACTAGCTTTTATTTGGTGTGTGCTGTGGGCAAGGAGAGTAGAAAGTCAGTAAGATGAGAAGATGCATAGGTGAAGTCCTTCTTGCACCTCTCAACCCCTCATGACTGATTACTGCTCTATCTGTTCCGTTCTCTTCTCTTTGAAAGCATTCCTTTGGGATATAATACTAAAATATTTACTTTATGCTTATTCAAATAAGGCAGTATAATTCTGGTTTTATTCTATCAACCTTTTTAGATATTTAGGTGTGTACTTATTTGTACCCTTTCTGCAGAGAATTTGAAGTGGCTATTTTCATATTTATGAATACCTTGTATAAATAAAAATTCATTTAATTTTCTATTTTGATAAAAGGTATATACTGTAAATTGGAGCTTTTTGTACTTTTAACAGGGACAGATATGGCATTTCTGAAGACTGCTTTGGAATTGGCAAGAACAGCAGTATATTCTTTACACAAATCTTCAACTAGAGAAGTAAGTTTTAAATCTCATGATATTCTGTGTCATTTTAAATTCATGACACTGTTTTAAGGATTTGCTGTGAAATTTATTTACTGTTAAAAATCTGAATACCAGAATATTTATTTTTCCTGACCTTTTTTAACATCTGGCACTTAGAAACTGAATTCTCCCTTTAACTAGCTAGCGTTTGTGGTAGCTTTCTTGAGCTATCCATCCTTTTGGGGTGTCCAACCTTGTGGCATTTCTAGGCCACACTTGATGAAAAGTTGTCTTGGGCCACACGTTAAATACACAAACACTAACAAAAGCTGATAATCAAAAAAAGGTTTTAAGAAAATTTACAATTTTGTGTTGGGCCACCTTCATAGCCATCCTGGGCCACAGGCAGCCCATAGACCAACCGCAGGTTGGCCTCCATAGCCCATATACTGGTAAGGGTTTGTTTTTTTTTTTTTTTTCATTGTTTTTTGGTCAAAGATTTGTTCAGACAGGAACTGTTACCAGGAAAGAGACTGTAATTTAAGAGTAGAGAAGTATGGTATAACTAGGGTTAAACTATGTCCTGTTTACCTGGGTCTTTTTTTTATAATACCCAAGGATTGATTTGAGAAAGGTGGTGGGGAGAGGGAGACATACAGTGATGTGAGAGAGAAACATTGATCGGTTGCCTCTCCTACACACTGTGACCAGGGATTGAACCTGCAACCTTTGAGTGTACAGGAAGATGCTCCAACAAAATGAGCCACCTGGCCAGGGCTGCCTGGGTAACTCTTGATTGATGTCTGTAGCCCAGTGGCCTTGTGTGGCCTGGTGCACATAAGTAAGGCGGTAAGGCCTGGTTTTTCAAGAACACTGAGCCTGGAGTTAAACAGATTTTTGTTTACAATCCACCTCTTCCATTATTCTTGCCAGCATTTGACATGTGAGGTGTATAAAGTGTGTTCCAGAAAACTGGGGGTGAGTTGGTACATTTTTTTGGTATCAAAATAACATAGTGACCAAGAACACAGATGATAGAATGAGCCTGCCTATGTTCATTTCTAAACTCTGCTACTTCCCAGCTGTTATCTTGGTGAAGGTACTTGAATTCAGTTTTATCACCTATACTGTATTTACCTGTACTCTTGTAGTATAAGGAACTACAAGTACCTTATACTTTGAGGGCTGTCATGAGAATTAAATAAGTTAATATTTACAAAGCACTTAGTATCTAGAATACGCAATTGCTATTAGCTATTATTAATTTAAATAATACATGTATTAGAGATTTTTAAGTAGTTTTGTAGTAAAAATATTTCTGTAAATACAGTGTGCTGGGATCCAGTTGGAAACAATAAGTTCTAGATATATGGTAATCTAATAACCCCTTAAAAATATAAAATTGTATGGCTAAAAATATATATACTGCTAAATAGTGTTACCAAATATAGGTAAGCAGCAGAAGACATGACTTTACTGGTAAACAAATCTCCATTTGATATGTGAAAGCAAACACCAGTTGTTATTGGTATCTAAAAAGCTTGTGTTGAGGTCCCCAAGACCATCCTCAGGTTTGATGCATCTCAAGAAAGTCTCACAAGACGCACCATACAATCATACTCATGGCTATGATTTATCACAGCGAAAGGATACAGAGTAAAATCAGCAGAGGGAAAGGTACATAGTTCAAAGTCGGGAAACCAGGTCCAGCTTCCAGAGTTCTGTCCCAGTGAAGTCACACAGTACATAGTGGATTTTCCCAGCAGTGAATTTTTGTGACAGGCGTGTCAAAAACTGTCAATCAGTGAAGCTCATTAGAGATTTAGTGCCCAGGATTTTTACTGAGGACTGATCATGTAAGACTCCTACCCCCTGCCTGGCACAAATCCAAATTTCAGCCTTCCAGTAGCAAAACAGTTATTCAGAATAAAGTTAAAGCACAGTGTGCGTATCATCTAAGGGGATAGGGAATGGAAACCCTCCCAAAATCTAAGTTCCCATGTTCCAGCCAAGGGCCAACCTTATATGCAGGCCTTTTCTAAAGATAAGTAGGCCTGCTCTGTTCATTTCTACATAGCTTGAAATAACTAATTTTATGTTACTTATATACAGTTCATGCAGACCAAGTAAAATATGCCAGTAAAAAATGCAATTAAGCCCTGACTGGTGTGGCTCAGTTGAATGGCAGCCTGCAAATCAAAAGATCACCAGTTTGATTCCCAGTCAGGGCACCTACCTGGGTTGTGGGCCAGGTCCCCAGTAGGGGGCACGTGAGATGCAACCACACATTGATGTTTGTCTCCCTCTTGCTCCCTCCCTTCCCCTCTCTAAAAATAAATAAATAAAATCTTTTTTAAAAATGCAATTAAGCAGCAAAGTCTTATTGAATTCTTGTAGCCACATTACCAAGGAACTCCCATCTTTGCTGTTTGGTATTACCATGTTCCACCATTAAAAGGTAGCATTATCATCATTGCCTTGGCAGGCTTAATGGTTGAATTTTAAGCATATTAGTACATTTTTACTTAGTACATATTTTCCACTAGTACAGGATATAATTTGCAAATTAATCTGCTGTATATTATGCATACATGAAGGAGGTATGGTAAGGAATGAACTAATATTAAGACAGTCCCTGTTAAGCTTGTGGTACTTTTGCTTGTTTTAAATACTCTATATAATTAATTGTCGCTGAAGATTACTCCATATCTCTTAACTGTAGACCCTTCGTCTTTAAAAGTGCTTGGCCCTCTATTTATAATATAGGTACATTTGTGTAGTAATTTTTTGGTAGAAATAGTTAAGTAAAATGGAATTATCCTGGCAGATATGCTGGCAAGCTGTGACTCCCAAGACTGTGGCCATATCTTTCTTCATTAGGAATTTCGATGATTTAGTTCTTGGCTCAGTTAAAGCAAATAAGCCAGGCACTGTTCTCTCAATGTTTATCCCAAACTTACCCCATTCATACTTGGACATCTCTGCCAGAACCAGCCACATTCCATTGTATAATCTAATGTCTAAACACTTTCACCAACCTTAGGGCTCAGCTAGCAAAGAAATGTCATCATAATTTATTTCTTACAAATTTATCAAAGATCCTGAGAGTCCATTAAATTACAGTATTATTTGCATTGAAGTCTGTATCCTTATACAGAAATTCTAGATCTCAAAATGGGAAAATATGCACAAAATTGGGATTTATTACATTCAAGAAAAAACTGCATGTATAAACATATTGTCAGTATTGTTTATAATGGGAATATTTGAACCTACAATTTAGGGAAAGTTATCAACCTGCTTGATGCCAATTAAATATTATAAACACTGCCAACATGAACAAAATGCTTAATAGCAAATATTGGTATCTCTGGATTTGTAGTATTTCTAGGTAATTATACACATAATTTAAGGGATTATATGCAACTTTTTCCCATCTCCATTAATGTTGAAGTATTGTATATATTATTTTAAAAATTCATAAAGCAGTTTTTATAACAAATTAACCAAAAATTTTATGAAGTGATTCAAGAATTTTAGACCTGTAATAGTTAACAGTTAGAGCCAGGACAGTTCAGAGCACTTTTCACATTCCACAACAATCTGATGAGAGATACCACTGCTGTCCCCATTTAACAGATGAGGAATTGAGGCACAGAAAGATGAGTAGATCAGGGTTACAATGCCAGTAAGTAGCACAGCGGCAGTTCAATTGCAGGCTGTCTTAACTACTATTCCATACTACCAAGGAATGGTCTCTGTTGAGTGGTTTCCAGGATAGTTATACTTGTATATATTGATGAAGTAATGCTGCAGAAACCATTTGAGTACATTGTGCACTTCCATGTACTTCTGAAACAGCAGCTTTGTGATTTAGATTTGATTATGTAATTTGTCTCAGTTAAATATATTGAAATGGCTTGGTTTCTTAATACTGTCCATTGCATTCAGTTGAAAAAAATGTAAGGGTCTAGATTCTAATGAAGTTTTAAAAGCTTGAAAACTTATTACCAAGTGTTAACAAAGAGGGATTTTTTAAAAACTTAAAAACCAGTTCACACGAACATGTCATTATGTACAGCATATTCAAAAGAAAGCCGCAGAATGGAAAATCAAGATAGACATCATTGCAGGTAAGACAATTTTCAAATTTCTCATAAAACAAATCTCAACTTAATTATCTAAGAAAGCCAAATGCATTAGCCAAACCAGAATTTTTATACAGGTACTGAGAAGATACTGTAAATCATGTTTTTAGTGTGGCAAATAGACATGGTTGTAGTGGGTAGCAAATGGAGTAAAGACAGAGTATTACTGTTTGCCAAGACTGTCCCAATTTATGTATTCATTTTAATAATAATGTCTAATAATACCCAAGTATTGGGCACCCCTGGCTCAGACAGAACCCCATGAAGCTGCTTTACAGTGGCTGAAGTTTGGGTTAGAGTAGGTCAGACATCAGTTTGAAGTCCATTTTTGGAAAATACCTCCAGATTATGCCTGGATTGCCGTTCTATTTCAATTTTCTAATTGCCCCTGAAGTCAAATAACAATTGTTTTTTAAGTGGGGGATAGAATATAGTCATCCACACTGAGTAAATCATGCTTATTACATTTTTATTAGTAAATTGGAAAGTATTCACAAACATCAAAATGGGGAAAGCATACAACAATAAGCTAACTGTAATCCAATTTTGTAAAATCTGATATGTGTATAGTAATGGGGAAGTGTTTTTTTACATGATGATAAACTATCAGTTAAAACTATGGCATTAACATATAACTAGTTACTGTTCTTAATAATTAGTAATGTGTGAAAGGTCAGTCTTCATATTATATTCAGTATTATCACTCCTTACACAGTTAAAGGTGTAAGGATGTGTGACACAGAGCATCCACCTCAGAACAGATCCAGCAGTGTACCAGACCAGGGCCTTACTGCTCCACGTGTGGTCCTTAGATCATCAGTGTTGACATCCCTTGGGAGCTTGTCAAACTTGCAGAATTTTACTCTCTACCCAAACCTACTGAATTATATCCTGCACCTCAACGAGATTTTATTTGAGGGTGATTTGACTGCACATTAAAATTTGAGAGCTGTGACCTAGAGTTAGAATTTATGTTGTAAAATATGAAGGGATGGGTAGACTCATTTTCATCCCTCTGCAATGGATCAGTAGTAAGTTTGGAGAACTTACATTATTCTTTAGAAAGAAAGAATATGAAAAAAAATGGGTTTTCATTGAGTTTAGTAGTAAAATACTTAGCTACTTACTATCATTACTAAAATCCAGACAAAATTTTAAAATAAGTATTGTTATTATGAGAGTGCTATTAATTAGGAAATTAAAAATAGGAAGGTACTATCACTTTCGTAGGGTATACTTTTTTGTCCATTTGTTACCCTTCTAAACTCTTCTCTATAATCTCAAATTTTGGTTTAAGTGACCAAAATAGCAGAAACGCCAAACTTAACTTCCTGTGGTTAACCTTGGGATTCATCATGGTAGTCCTTGGGTACCAAGTTAAAGTGACAGGCCTGGAATCTTCATTGTACCAGCATTAAGTGCTTTCATAATTCATGGGGTGGTTTTTAGTCAAGGGTGGTAAATGCTTGGAAATAGAATTTTTATCCTTAGTTGGCCTTTTTTGTTGTTTTATAGAGCTGAGGTATGACCTGCCAGCATCATACAAATTTCATAAAAAGAAATCAGTAAGTCTCTTGAACTCTACAATAAGTAATTATTTCTAATGTTACCAAGTTGCCCAAGTAAATACAGAAAGCCAGCCTGGGAGACAGATTATGGAATGGCCTATAACCAGCCAATATTCTGGTTTAAAATAAATTCTTTCTCATACTTTAGGTAAAAATAAAACAAACTAAATCTTTGCTCTTTATATAGTATATTTTATTAGTTTGTACTAACACATTCTCATATTAAAAAGGCAGTTTAGTACAAGAATCTTTCTTCTGATATTTGAGTTATCTGAAATAACATAGAACTGTACATCAAAAATATCCTCATTTGGATAACAAAAAAAAAAGAGAGAGACAAGCTAAACAACAAAAAATTTTCCTTTTTTACAGGTGGACATTGAAGTGGACCTAATACGGTTTTCTTTTTTAAAAGCCTCCAAAGACAAAAGCAGCTGAAAACCTAATTAAAATGAATAAAAAGTTTTTTACTAAACTACTGGTCTCCGGCACCATTTTCTGTTTTCTGCTGTTTTGATACAGGTTCTTCTTTGTCTGTTTCTTCTCTTGCTCTTTTTCCTGGTCCTGTACAATAACAGACATAATTTTTAAGTTCGCTGTAAGGCTTACTCTATTTTAATATTGAGCATAATTACCAAGGAGAAAAGGCTGTTTCTTAGTACATAAACCTTCTGCTCTCTAAACTTATCTTCCAAACATTCTTGTTATCACTTGTAAAACAGCATAATGGGTAAATCACAATCCAAGAATGTCATTCATGTAGAAACTGAAAAACCACATCACTGTTCTCTCCCACAAATAATTTCTCATGGAAGTAGCAAAGACTTAAAAAAAACTTACCAGATGCACCATTTTCATCACGTTCCTCATCACTATCAAATTTAGTCTTCTTGCCCTGAAACTGTACTTTTCCTTTAGCAGACCCAGTCTGGGCAGCTTTATTTCCCTTTCCTTTTCCTTTAAATCTGCGACCTGCAGAGATAATTGAGAGATCAATAAAGAAATGCTTTAAATTTCTTGTCTTTGAGCAATTATTACAATGTTTACTCAAGCAAATGAGTTTAAATAACCACACTGTCAGAAAAATCGGAACTATTGACCTTTTGACTTCCATTTGTTTAGGGATTCTTGCTGATCATCTATGATTTTCTTCAATGCTTCTTTTTCCACATCTCCATCTAGTACTTCCCATGTCACTTCTTTGTTCCTTAGTTGTAGGTTACCATTATTTGCATCTTTGGCTTTATCCAGTGCTTCCTTAGCTTTTTCTTTAAATAGAATTATTCCCTACAGCAAAGACAAAAGGCCATACCCTTAAGTTTTTGGTCCCACAGTTAATTCCTTCAAAGTAATTTTTCCTAGCCTGCAAAATCTTCCATGCCATTACCATTTTCAATGAATTTCAGTGAACATCAGGAAGGAAACTGCTACAAAACTTGTAGTCATTGATCCAACAATTATTCACAGTATAACAAAATAATCACACATCATATGGAATTATAGCAACAACAAAATGGACAAGTAAATGATTAAACTTTTCAACACCATTAAAAATGCTTTCTCTTTGCTAATTATTTCATCTAAAAGAAATTTCTATGGGTTTTCAACATTGGTAAAACTTTCCAAACCTCTTTTGATCCTCTGACAAAGTCTATCCATTTTATTTCACCATGATTTGAGAAAAGGATGTGCAAATCTTCTCTACAGGTCTGATCATCTAGGTCCCCCGAGAATTTCAGCAAGCAGCCAATTTTTTCTTCTAGAGATTTCTATGAAAATATACAAGGCAATAAAAGTTTCTTAAAAGCAACCACAAATCATAAATGGCTTATACCACTCTATACCTATATAAGGAAAAGGCTACAAACTAAAATGCTAATTTGAGTAGTTTAACATTTGGTGTATTTCCTCTATCATCCTTTGTTTTGCAATGGCTTCTGATTTAACTTAATTTCTCCAATAAGTAATATTTAGTTATATAAACCTGATCCTTAAACTATCTCTGGGTAAATACTAATTTTAGGCAATAGTATTTGGCTATTACTTTATGGTAATGCTTATAGATTTTCTGTGAAAAGTCTTCAGACCGTTTATTCTCATAGCCCTGAATTACAGATTTCTTAAGATACTAGTAATATATACTTACAATTTCAGCATTTTCTGCTAACTTTTGTTTTTCTTCTTGCTCTCTACAAATGAAAAATGTAATTGAATGTTTCCATTTACTATATATATATATATATATGAAAATTAAATCCTGATAAAGTTAATCTTGATCACTATCACTAAATTACTTAATAACCAAAGCCAGTCTTAGGATTTCTGATTGTCCAATGCTACAGTGCAACACAGTGTGGCCCCAGATTATCAATGCAGCTTAAGACCTCAATGTTTCATGAGCAATAGAAAGGCCTACTGCTACTCATTCCAGAGGTCATCATCAGTTTCCTTCCCCAGAACCACTATCTACCTTTGTCAAAGATTTAAGGAATCAAAACGCTCTATTAGCCCTGGCCTTGTAGCTCAGCTGACTGGAATATTGTTCAGTACACCAAAAGGCTGCAGGTTCAATCCCTGGTTAGGGTGCATAGGGGAGGCGACCAATGGAAGTTTCTTTCTCTTTCTCTTCCCCTCCCCCCTTCTCTCTAAAATTAAGAAAAAAAAATCCTCAGGCGAGGATTAAAAAGTTTAGTAGCTCTATTTAACTTACTGTTTAGCTCGTAATTTAGCTTCCACTTTATTTTGCTTTCTTTCTTCATTTTTTTTTGCAAAGTAATCTTCCCTAAAGGACACAAAATACAGAGGCTAAATTTATGAAAAGATTTCAGATTATTCTGAATGATTTAGACATGGCATAAAATTCAAAAGGTGTCAAGGGAAGTTACCATTCTATGTTTTTTTTTCCCCAAGTAACAGCTTTACTAAGAAATAATTCACATGCCATAAAATTCAATTTTAAAAGTATATAATTCTGAAAGACAAATACCGTATGATCTCACCTTTAACAGGAACCTAAACAACAAAACAAAGAAACAAGCAAAATATAACCAAAGACACTGAAATAGAGGACAGGCTGACAGTGTCCACAGGGGAGAGAAGAGGGAATTTCAGGGGAGAATGGGAAGGGTTTACAGAAACAAATTTAAAGGACACATGGACAAAAACTAGGGGGAGGGTGGTAATGGGAGGGAAGTGGGGAGGGTTGGGTGGGTGGGCTGGATTGGGAGTAAAAGAGAGAAAACAGTACTTGAACAAAGATAAAAAGTATATAATTCTATGCTTTTTAACTTACCCAGATTATACAAATATCACTATTATTTAATTTCAGAACATTTTCATGACCCTAATAAGAACCCCTACATCTCATGTATCATTCAGGTATTTTTAAAAAAAAGTAAACTAGAAGTTATGTAAAATATTTTAATGTTTCAGAGTTTTCTACAGTGTTCATCTCACAAAAAGAGAAAATTCTAAAATCCCTGAGACCCAAGAATAAGAACAATTATAAAATCAGGTTAAAAAATACTTTTGAGGGCTTAACACAGCAATTCATCACAGTGCATCTCTAAGTAGACCAGGTTTAGAACACAGCATATTTAGAATACTGGATAATGCAAAAGTAGGAAACTATGGTCACACATCTAACTTAATCATGAAAATGCTCTGGTTTGTCCAAGTTTTTAGATATACATATTAAAAAATGTGATCCAAATCTCTATTAAAAAAAATCCTTTGTACTATATAAAAATATAGGCATATATAGACTATGAGAAATAAGAACAGATAAAAATTGTATAGTGATTTCTAACACTAAAAGCCCAAGTTTTAGTATCCAGCCTCATTGTAAGTTTTAGATGTAAAGCACTAAAACTTAACCTCCTTTACTAATTGCTAACACAGAAAAGGTACTAATAAACACTTCTATATATTCTCAAAGGACTAATAGTTTCCACTAAGCAAATTCCAAGCATTTCTCAAAGGATGCCTGTGGTTACCAAAACTACTGGCCTTACAGGTGATCTATTCCATATTCCTTATCCCAGTGTGTCAAATTTCATACAACTAAGTGGCCAGAAGAAACATCAGCAAAAACACTTACTTGAAAAGTATTAGTAGATCTGTGTCTTTGTACTTTTGTCCAGGGGTCTCCACAAACTTTTTAGCAGACTCAATGCTATCGAACACAGCAAATATTGACCCCTTTTAAAAGGGAAAGAAAGATTTTTAGGTATGTCCCATATATTTTTCAACTAGAAAGTTTGTTAAATCATACCACCATACCTTAAATGTTTTGTGCAATGTTCTTCTCATCTGAATATTTAGTACTTGACCTTTATCTTCTAACCATTCTTTAATGTCATCAAGGGTTGCATCAGTAGGGAAGCCTTTCTGTGACAAGGAAATGTACAAATGACTTCTCAGGTAAAACAATTAGGAAGAAATTCTGAATTATTTTGTCTTGAATGAAGCCAGGATATCTCTACCTCCCACTCTTCCTCCCTCCCAAAATGTTTAACAGCTCTGGTTATGAGCCTTTGTTCTCCAGTGCAAAAGTGACTCTTTTATCTGGGGTTTGATTCAAAATAATCCAATTGGGTAAGGATAAAGCAAGATTAACCATGTGTTAATACTGAAGTTGGATAATGGTATATTATATATCCAATCTACTTTTGTGTGCCTGAAATTTTCCAAAATAAAAAACAACTTAAAAATTAATGTGCTAAAGAAAACTGCTATCAAATTCAGCTGATGATAAAGAAAAACAGGTGATGTACACTGGTGCTTACAATATGTTAATGATTTTCTCCAGTGGTATATGGGTTTTTCATTTAACTCTCACAACAGTTCTGTAAGGTAAAAATATTATCCCCATTTATGCAGATGAGGCTTAAAGAGGTTAAGAACATACAGTAAGTGGTGAGGGACATATAGTAAGTAGTGAAGTTATGATGAGCTGTTATTTTTACCAACTCTATTACCCATTCTTTCTAAATTTAAGATATAATTAAATGCATTAAAGGCCCACTTACAATATAAACAGATCTGTTTTTTACATCATTTTTATACTCATCAGTCACTTCAGGGAGAGGTTTGTTTGGAGATCTTCTGATTTTGGTTTTATCTTCACTTATCTCCATGAGTTCTGCCTTTGATTTGCTCAATGCTTCTACTATTACATTAAAGTCTGTTGTTAGACGGTTTAACCTGAAGAATATGTATGAAAACATTGTAAGACTTAGTACTAGCACTTGTTAATAGATAATCTAAAGATGGTTTTTAAAAGGTTTTTACCTATTGAATTTTATCATTATTTCCAGAGGTACCCAGCCTTCATCCAGTTTGATCTGTTCCTTTAAAAATTTGTCCCGTGGCAAATTGAAGTCACCAAAATAATACTACAAGATAATTACAACATAGTTCAGATCATTGTAATAATATTGACTCCAACCTAGATGTATTTTTATTACCATTACATCAAGTTCTATTCTTTAAAAATACATGTCATAACTTAAGAGGCAATAAATATTTCCTCCTAAATATACCATAATTAAATATTTATAATACAAATTTAACAAAGAGATAAAACTAAAAATTGATTACCTAAACAATGTAATTTAACAGATATGTCAACAACAAATAAAAACACCTGAGGATTTAGTATATAGAAAATCCTCACTTCAAATCAGCGTGGAAACAGTAAATTAAAAAACTGGAATACACTGGTTAATCACTCTAATTTTTAAAAGTTAAAAGCATATATCTAATTTAAACATAGAGGCACTCTTTCTCAGTATAAAAACAAAGGGAAATTATACATGAAAAGGCCCAAGTGTAACTATTTGGAATGCCAAAAGTAACATAAAAAGTAAGGCAAATAGAAGTTTGTTAATAATTCTCATAAATCAAGGGGGAAGAAAAAACCCAGAAAATACTAACAGAAAAATGAATGAAGGACATTACAAAAATCACTAAAACTAAAAATGCACTATAAACAAGTTCAACCTCATTACTAATCAAAGAAATGTAAATTAATAAAAAGCATTTTTCACCTAATTGGCCAAAATTCTAAGCACAAATATGCCCAGTATTGGCCTGAACAGAGAAATGGTCATGCAGGTAGAGATGTAAACTGGCCATAAGTGTTTAAAATTTTAAAAAATGTACATCACCCTCGAACCAGAACATCTCTCATATATAAAGATATCCATGATAAAACTATTACAACTAAGAAATATTGGAAATATCCTATATATCAAATAAGAATCTTGGCATATAAGTGATGACATAAAACTCACTCCCCCAAAATGCATCCCATGTTTGGTGGAGGAAAGGGAAGAAAAATAAAATGTATGTTAATGTGAACCCTGACCAAAGTGTAAAAGGGTAGTCATTAGGCTTTTAACCTTGATTACCTCAGGAGGGTGGTATTTGAGAGGTGGCAGGTTGTAGAAGGGAAATCATTTTTCTACCTACATCTATGTTTTTTTTTTAATTTTTACTTTTTTATTTTCAGAGAGAGAGGAAGAAAGAGAGGAAGAGAAATGATCAATGTGTGGTTGCCTCTTGTGCGCCCTCAACCAGAGGACCTGGACCACAACCCAGGCAATCAACCCTGGGCGGGAATCAAACCAACAACTCTTTGGTTCAGCATGCAATCCACTGAGCCACACACCAGCCAGGGCTATATACATCTACGTATTATTCTAAATATTAAATACATAATAATTTGTAGTTTTCTTCACAATTATAAAGAAATCAGTTCAAAAAGTTACAACATAAGAATTTAAAATGGCAGAGAAGTACAACCTAAAAAAATACTTCTGAGAATTTCCAAAACACATCAAATATGAAGTTCTTTAATAAGAGCATAAGATATAAATTAAGAAATAATTTCCCACACCAACCATTATGCAAAGCTTCAACTTAAATATAAGACTTAAGTTCAAAAAAAGACTAAGAGGCCCTGGCCAGGTAGCTCAGTTGGTTAGAGCACTGTCCCTATAGCCAAGGTTACAGGTTCGATCTCGCCAGGGCACATACAAGATTCAACCAATAAATGCATAAATGAGTGGAAAAGCAAATCTACTTCTCTCTCTCTCTCTCTCTAGTCAACAAAAATTTACACAAATTTTAAGAAGTTAAGTAACATTTGTTTATAGTGTTATCTTTCGAAATGTCTGTAGTCTTAGGGCTTCATAAACTGGCTACACTAATATAAAACTATATACTATTAAGCCATGGCTGGTGTAGCTCAGTGGATTGAGCACGGGCTGCAAACCAAAGGGTCACCAGTGGGATTTCTAGTCAGGGCACATGCCTGGGCTTCAGACCAGATCCCCAGTACAGGCACGCAAGAGGCAACCACGCATTGATGTTTCTCTCCCTCTCTCCTCCTCTTCCCTTCTAAAAATTAATTAATTAAAATCTTTGAGGAAAAAAAACCTGTATACTATTATATATACAACTAATTCAAAGAATCAAAAACAAGCCCAACGTTGAATATAGGTCAATATACATACTCAAATGAAATGTTCTTTCTGTATTTGTTTTGAAGCCCCAAATTTCCTTGCAAAGAGCTGTTTTCACACTTGAGTAGTACAAGGATCATACCTCAATTTGATGACAGATTTTAGCCTCCAGAGCAGCCATTTTTTCATCACCATTTTCGGCCATTGTGGCGGTCTGTAAATTTTTCCAAATTAGATTATTGTTATTTTTTAACATAAAATTCAAGACCAGAAAAAGAATGATTATCAACACCCCACTAATTTCTTCTGAAACAAAAAATCAAGAATTTTTCATTTCACAGGCTCAATTTCTCTACTCAATTGTCAATTTTCAACAAAAGAAAACTTTAGAATAAGGGATGGAAAACTGAAAAGCTACCGAGCCCTGGCCAGGTAGCTTAGTTTGTTAGAGCCTCATCCGGATAAGCCAAGGTTGTAGGTTTGATCCCCAGTCAGGGCACATACAAGAATCAATCAATGAATGCCTAAGTAAGTGGAACAACAAATCATTGTTTCTCTCTCTTTTCTCTCTAAATAAAAACATAAATATAAGTATCAATAAAAATATTAAAATTTTAAAAAAGAGAAGCTATTAATACACACCCCTTTCAGTAAATCACTGTTCCATGTTCTGTAACAAAGAAAGTGGCTATCTTCATTATGGATTTCAGTCTCACCTGTTTGGTGCAGTCAAATTTCTTTTAAACTTAGTCATAGTTGTCCTGGCCAGTGTGGCTCAGTTGGTTGGAGCATTATCCCGTACACCAAAAGGTTGGGGTTCGATTTCTGGTCAGGGCACATACCTAGGTTGTGGGTTCAATCCCTGGTTGGGCACGAATGGCAGGCAACCAATGTTTCTCACACTGGTGTTTCTCACTCACTATCCCTCTCTCTCTAAAATCAATGAACATATTAAAATAAATAAAACTAGTCACAAATGACTTACCAAAAACTTTATCAGCCAAGATTAAGTATTATAATCCTATTTTAGCCAGGGCTCAATTAGATGCAGTATATTATGGAACATATGGAATGACAATTTGAGAGCCCAAGGACACTAAAACATCGTTAACAATTCGTTAACAACATCCTTAAACTGGGAGTACGCCTACTCATTCACTGATATATTAGCTAATCAGTTTCCTGATTAGCAGTGCAGGAAAAAATGAGGCTGTGAGGTTGGTTTGCTAGACACAAAATCAAGGATTCTCATCTCAAATTACTTTGCCTCCAATGTTCTATTAAACCATCCAGTCGTCCACATCGTACAAAAGTATATAGGAGCTCATCAAGGATATATGCCATTAAGCGACTCTTGTGATGAACTATCACTGGTACACTTCTTGGAGGCATCGCTTAAACACTGTAATTACAATGTAATCAGCTGGATGCACATTGGAAGCTCTTGTGATAGGGACTTATGTGGTGCACATCACATTACAAAGTTTGATCAATCTTATGCATTGGTGTGTTGACCACAACCTACAGTCCTAAATTATAACCATAATCTAGGGCCCCTTATAAAGCAAAGGGTGAAATAAAAAATTATTTAATCCTTACAAGACCTCTTGGCCCACCCAATTTTGGAACTTCGTTTCATCATATTCCTTCCCAGAATGTACAACTACGAGTGAAATATTAATCACATTTACCATTTCGCACAGAAGCCTTGATGTGCGTGAATGAAGACCCTAAAAACCCAAGAGAAGTACGCCAGGGGAACACCTACATAGACGCGATTCTCGGGCCTCCACTCTGTCCCACATTATCCAAGGAACCCTACGGAGTTTAGCTGGGCCAAACTCCTTAGAACCTTACACAGATGGCCTCAAACGTACGCCTTTGGCGACACTGGAAGATGATGAAGGTAGGAAATGTGAAAGATTCAGTGGAGATGCCGGCAGCTCTGCCCAAACGACACCTCCAGGGACCCATTCCAAAGCAACTATTGGCTAGCTTGGGACCCAGGCACGTGCGCAGAAACCCGGGTTCCAGCATTCCTCCAAGAAGGCCCCCTCACGCGTCCCAGCCCAGCGTGCCGCGGCCCACGCGGCTCAAAACCCAAACGTGAGGAAGGAGGCGCGGGCGCAGCCGGCATGAGGCAGCAAAGAAAGGAAAAGAGCCGTCGCGCACCACGGAAAGCAGAACTTTGGTACCTTCTCATTAGCCCCCAGGCGTTGCTCACCTTTCAGGTCCCGGTCCAGCAGACTCGGGCCACAAAATCACTAACAGCGACTGCAGCGACCAGCCTCCCCAACGCCGCCAGCTCGCCTAACGCGCGTAAAGATGGGGGCCGTCCCGGCAGCCCTTGCGCCTTAGTGGGCGTGGCTTCGGGGAGCAGTAGCCGGTGCCGCTTTTTGAGCATGCGCGCACGCCGCGGACTCCCACAGCCCGCCTAGGCTCGCCCTCTCCAGGAAGAAATTTGTTTACAGTGTTCACCAGGGTGATGGAGGGAGTTAAGATAAATATTTATTTTTAAGTGGTTTTGGACGTCGTTCGTATCTCCAGCCGTTCTTTAGCCTTTCCATTCATATGAAGTCTTGGCTTTTTTTCAAATTATGCGTTTCAAAAAATTGATTTAATTATCCATATATATCTAAACTACATCATGTTGTAATCTCAAAAAAGTGAGAAGTGAATTTATTTTTAAGTCAAAGATTCATGGAATCTTGGAGTTGAGAAAAAAGTACAGTAAGTGTTTAAGAACTAGGACTCCAATCCAGAGAGCCTGCCTTCAAATGAGGGCTGACCAGTTTACAGACAGCTAACCTTGGGCGAGTTACTCAACATCTTCATCCCTCATGTATAAAATGGGGCCAGTGATAAATGTCACCTATTTTATTAAGTCGGTGTGAGCATTAAACGTGATACAACCCTGGTGGGTAGTTCAGTTAGTTAGAACGTCCCCCTCATACTCAAGGTTGTAGGTTTGATTCCCTGTCATGGCACATACAAGAAGTAACCAATGAATGGGTAGATACGTGGAGCAACAGATCAATGTTTCTCTCGTTATCTCTCTCTCTCCAATTTTAAAAAATAGTGATACAATATATACCTTGCCAGAACCTGTGCCTGGCATATGCTGTAGCAGGAGGAGCAGCATACATTAAAATAAACATGATTTTAGATCATTAAAATGCTGTTCATTGCAAAAAACTATTGCCTCTGCCAGAGCCCTTTTTTATTAGTATACTTTTTTGCACAATAATTTTAGTCACCTAATTTAAAAGATTTTTTCTTACGGTGAGGCACTTTTTTCACTTCGATTTTTGTCAAATCAGCAACTCAAACCAAACCAGCAGTACAACGAATAATACAAATAACAAAGATTCCAAAGAGTAAATAGATAGGGATACATAATGCCTGTGAAGATATGATTCCCTAATGTTGTCCTTTCCCTTGTGGAGGCACGATGCCCAAAGCCAGTTGGTCTCAGAAATCTTTTATTGAGTTACGACTGTGCCAAGTCAGAGTAGCCCAGAAACGTGGGCTAGTTGCTTCTTGGAATATTTTAGGGCTCTAGGGGTTTGAGGGTACAAATAGGTATGGAGCATCTATCCTTAACATAAAAGAGTATCTTGATGCCTCACATGTCTTGTCACATATTATTTCTTGCTAAGCCGCTTCAGCTTCTGATGAACCAGTCCTGTCAATTACCGCTGGATCTGAGGGAGTCTCATTTTGGTTGCCACAGCTTTTCTTGTCACAACAGGAGCTGTACACGATTTCCTCTGTGAGCAAGACTCAGTACACTTCTGGGCTATTGTCTTGACCTTCATACACTGTGGTCTTCCCAGCTGGAGTGTGTGGGCTGCTGCTTTGCAGTGGTGGTGATGAGAGACAACTGCTGCTGCAGCACTTGCTGCTTCATGAGTCCGTGCTCTAGGAAGTCATTTTCCACCCATGAGGCAATCTCTTATTTTTCCCTCAGTTTTCTTGAAAATTTGAAAGGATATTGGTGAAATAGCCTGTTATGTGATTGCAGGACTTTTGGGCATCCCAAAACATAGCTAATGTATTTATTGGGAAAAACTGCAGTTATAGATTCAGTCCAAATATTGCATCAAGCCAATGGTCCCCTCTCCTCCAAGGACCAAGCTCCATGCAGTCACCATCCTTTGGGGAAAATGGAATCCTGGCTGCACACCAAGAAGCTTCATTTATTCCTGTAAAGTATCAAGAAGTGTCTCATACTGACATCCATCGCTTTCATGGCATAACTTTGTAGGATAATATACTAGAAGACAATCTTTCTGAGTATAAATTAAGTACAGTAATTTTAGAAAGCAATTTGGTAATGTTACTGAAAGGTTTTCTTAGGCTCCTCCGAGGAAATAAATGCCAATCGGCCACAAAGTTAGGCAGTATAGAGCTTCACTGGAGTTTGCGATCCCACGCAAGTTTTCCCGGTCCTCACGGTGGGGCCCAAGAAAGTCGCCCCAGCAGGGAAAAAGGCGGGGTTTTATTTTGGGGTTGGCTCTACGAGGGAGCTGGGGATTGGTCCCTCATGAACAAAGCGGCAACATATCATTGGTGGTTCCCCTCGCACCCTGGTTTGACATCAGCCATCTCTTCCGGGTTGTAGTTCAGCTGCCATGATTAATTGTAGTCCAGCCACCATTTTTACTGTAGTCCAGCCGCCATTTTTATTGTAGTCCAGCTGCCATTTTGTCCTACCCTGCCCATCCTGACAGTTACTGAAGAAACTCCCAGAAACTCGCTTCTTCTCAATGATGCAGTAAAGAATTACAGGCCAGCGAGCCTACTAGTGTTCAAGCAAAGTTTATTAGTGCTAAGTTCTAATGGGAAAGCAAAAGCAAGAGTGGCTAGAGCAGGGTAGCAGAAGTAGGGTGGCCAGAGGCTGGGAGACCAGGGGCCTCGCATGTGGCAAAAAGAGCCCAGAGGCCAAGAGATAGTTCTTTGTTCTGAAAACTTTATAGTTGGCAGGATGGGGATGAAAAAGTTACATACTGCTTGATGGGTAAAGGTGGTGCCAGCTTTCCCAGGGAGACATGGCTACCCAACTGTAGGTATGGTGAGGAGTCTGTTAGCCCGAATCCTTATCTTGCTCCAGATGCTATTTGTTCATTTTGCATATGTGACGGGAGGAAGGCAGTTAACCAAAGTTGTTTTATGAGTTTTTTTCTTTGGGTACTGTAGTCCTGCTTCTCTTCTCCCTTCCAGGCCTTGGAATGAATAGACAGTCTCAAGGTTTTCTTTTCCTACCTAGTAGAGATGACACACACAGACTTTCAAGGGCTCCCCACCCCCTACACTATTATAGTTGCACTTGTTCAGGACGCCTGGCAGCCTTATCAGACCAGGCTCAGGATTACCGGGTCGGGGGGAGATTTTTGTTTTTAGCCTCCCATGTTAAATTCTTTGTTAGATTGCAATGGTGAGACCCTGCCTTTATTTCCCCTCTGGCCGCTCATTCCACTGTAACAGTAATATATGCTAAAGTTTAATATGCATATAGCAGATGGCCCCAAAGTTCACTCGCAATAATATATTCTAGAGAAATTTTCACATCTATGCACAAAAAAATGTGTTCAAGAATATTCATAGGAACATGGTATATAAGTGCAAAAAATTGGGAATTAACTAAATGTTCACTAAAAAGAACAGATAACTGAATTGTGGTGTAATTAAACAATGAAATAATAAAAATGCTGTGATGAAACAAATAAACCAGATCTACTTTCATTGACAGTGATGAAATTCACAAACATAATGCTGAGTTTTAAAAAATGTTTAGAAAAAATATTAGTACCTCCAGTCATTGTGGCAATGAAAAATCCCACCCACATTTCTAAACCCTAAGAGGTGCTACTGCTCCTCCCCTGCCCCTCCCCCCATGCTGAAAACAATTAAGATGATGGCATTATTTCATTTGGGACATTTAGTTCGAAATTTGTATTAGATATCCAGGTAGAGATGTCAAGTAAAGAGTTGGTAAATAAGTTTGGAACTTAGATAAGAAGTCAGGGTTCGAGATCCAAATTTCAGAATTTTTAGCATGTAGAAGACATTTAAAGTTGTGGCATTCAATGAGCTCTCCTAGAGAGAATCTAGACAGTGAAGGTAAGAGGACTCGAGACCAAACCCTCTGGTATTCCAAGTCTAGATATTGGGTCAAGGATGAGAAGCCTGAACAAGAGCTAGAATAAGCACAGCTTGTGAGGTACTAGGAAAACGTGGTGCCATAGGAGCTAAAAAGGGAGAAGGTGTAAGGAGGGAGTGATCGACTGGGTCGATTCTGCCGAGAAAGGTTGCAGTCTGACCTGAACTGACTTTATCACATGGCAGAGACTGTTACTTATCCCCTAGTATTGACTCTCCCCTCATGGTATCATAATAAAATCTTCCTGATTTTTAACCAAGTACATGGCCCATTCAAAAAAAAACAAACATTTTTCCAGCTTCCCTTAGGGATAAATAAGACTATGTCTGGCCAATGATAGATATATGAATAATGTGGACAACTTCCAGGTCATTATTAAAGAGAAAGAGTTTGTTCTCTTCCCACTGGCTGGGTGTGGACGTGTCCACGAGCAAAGCTGGACCAAGCAAATGAAGGTACCACCATAGGTATGGCAAAGCAGCAATAACAAGAATCCAAGTCCCTTTCAGCTTTGAGCACCACACCAGCCCTGATTGCTCCATGTAGTGGACTTACCATTCCAGCTTGACTTTAATGAACAGGGGAAATGCATGAAAAGTTTATTCCAGGCAGATGTGTCAATGTTCTAGCCTTTTGGTCAGGGTTAGGCAGCAGATCTGTCACTGAGTGGCAGAATATCCAGCTAAATCAGAGCTCCAGGCCAAGTGCACCCCTCTGGAGGCTGTTGGGCTTGTACTAGATTTTTCTATTTTTGTATGTGTGAGATGAATATTACAGTGTCTAAAAACTAAGAATCTACTGCCTCCCTAAGCTTTGGGAATGAGTTGTAGGGATGGTTAGTTGCCTTCTTGCTAATAGGTGCCCAAATGTGTGACAGTATCTTGTGTGGGACCTACCTCCATTGGAACACATCACCTGAATATGAGGTTGTTGGGGAAAAACCTAGAGCCTGCCCATAGGTCTGACAGTTGGAGGCCTCCAATATCACCCCAAATTATCTAATCATTGTGAAAGACCTAATTTTCTTAGGTCAACTTGACACAGTAAATAGTTTGGTATATACAGAAATTATAAGCAGACCTTCTATGGAGACAAGTGGAAGCTGATAAAACAACACAGTTTCTTTACTAAGATCTTACCTAAAATAAAGTATTTGTGACATATAAAAGGAGAAGAAGAGGCCTTTTGGAGGG